CCTCACTTCGTGGCCCCGCAGGGAGCCCCGCCTGAGGCCCCAGTGGCAACGCTCGCATGGCACCACCACGCCCATTTCGTGGCCCCGTATGGAGCTCCACCGAGGGCCCCAGTGGCTGCGCTCGTATGGCGCCCCCGCAGCAATTTCGGCACGCACCTCGCACGTTTTGTGGCCACAGGGAGCTCCACCGAAGGCTACAATGACTGCGCTCGCACGGCACCACCGCGCCCATGTCAGCGTACCCCGCACACGCGTCCACCGAGGGCCTCAACGGCTTCGCTCGCATGGTGCCGCCGCACCAATTTTGGCACGCCCTTCACACGTTTCGTGGTCCCATAGGGACCTCCACCTGAGGCCCCAGTGGCAGCGCCCGCATGGCACCACCGCGCCAGTTTCGGCACATCCCTCATACGCTTCGTGGCCCCATGGGGAGCTCCACCGAAGGCCCCAAGGCACCGCCCGCGTGGCACCGCCGCGCCAATGTCGGCACACCTCACTCGGTTCGTGGCCCCCAAAGTGAGCTCCACCGAAAGCGGTCGGGCACTCGGTACCCGCAACGCGGTAGTCACAGTTGCATATGATTGGGTGTAAAGCCAGGATATTTTTTTCGGGTCTGCTGGGGATTGGGACGCCGGAGGTCTTCTCGAAGCCGATGGCTTCCAGGGGTCTCCAGAGTTCCCAGGATGTTCAGTGAGACCCCAGAGGCCTCGGGAGGGCCAGAAGAGCTTCCAATAGTTTTTTCCACCCGACCTTCCTCAATCGTCATGGCGCTTGGCCCCTGTCGGTCGAAAAGGTTCGTCACCGAACGAAATATGTGATGGAAAACGCGAAAGAATTTGATATCGTAGAAGTGTAATCGAAATCGTGGCGAAGCCGCGTGACACTCGGGGGACAGCTGCCGGAACTCGGCGGCTTTTTCCCGCGGGGGAAGTGAGAGGGGGCAAGCCTTCTCCGAAGGCGGCGGGCCATCCCACGACGACGACGCCCTCCCCCGCCTTCTCTTGGGCGCCGCCCTTCAGACCACGTCGTCGAGATTAGGCCCCAGAACATTCTTCATTTTCTTCAGAAAGCCCTGGGCTTGCCCAGCCTTCTGAGAAGGGCCGCCTCCTCCTCCTCGTCGTCCTCGTCGTCCGCCTCGTCCTCCTACTTCTCCTTCTCTTCCTCCTCCTTCCCACGTCGCCGTCCTCCTCCTCCTCTTCCTCCTCCTCCTCCTCCTTCTCCTCCTCCTCCTCCTCCTCCTCCCCGACCAACAACTTCTATCGTATTCTCACGAAGAGCCCCCAGGGGTGCGGGGATCTGCGCCGGCTGCCCGCCCATGTTCTTCCTCATCCGCCTTATCGTCGTCGTCGTCGTCGTCGTCGTCGTCGTCGTCGTCGTCGTCGTCGTCTTCCTCCTCCTCCACCTTCTCCTCCTCCTCCTCCTTCTCCTCGTCCTCCTCCTACTCCTCCTCCTCCTCCTCCTCCTCATGACAATAGCGTGTCAATGGTGGCGATCCGGGAAAACATCGAGTTAACTGAAGCAGCCATTGTTTAGAAGACGGTCGAGCTGGACGAGATGCTAGCTCAAACCGTGGAGGTCGAAAAGTCCAGTGTCATGTCCCCGCAAAGGCGACAAAGGTGATTATCATAGGATTGTTGTTACAAAAGTGGGCGAGGTTTTGCGCGGCTCGGGTGCTGGTGATATCTCTCAGAAGTTTAAAGCAAGCAGTGCAAACGCGATACCGCAAGCCATCTCCAACGCGAATGTCACAGTGCTGGGACAACAGTTGAGTACTTCAGGTGCTGGTCCATCATGTGCTTCAGAGGAGAAAGCCGAAACTTTTCGGGATTCCGGCAAAGACACGCAGTGCCAAGCATATCGAGGACCTCAACGCAGTAGGCATGGAGGATATCAATAGTAGGTTCGATGCAACAGGAATCGCGGTACGCGTGCATGAGGAGGAAAGTCGGAAGGCAGCGCGTAAGTTGCTATGCTTCAGGCAGCAGACCAATTTAGGTACGTTCCTTGTGTATTAGATGCTGGAGGGTGGTCTGTTCGTCGCATGCTATTGTTGTTGCTTATGGCGTCGTCGCCCCCAGTTGTTATTGATTCCCCTGGGTCATCTTTGTAGAGGTTGCGGCCCACCTAATCCGAAGAAGGGTGACACAGGAGGCGATTCTTGCCTCCTGGCTCGGCTGTAGGAGCAAGGACGAGCTTCCTGGATGTCTCATGGCGGGGTTCTTTCAAACGTATACTCAAAGACGGCTGGTCAGGCGATGCTCGGTCGGTTTACCACTGTGAGTTCGGATGCAGCTGGACTTCTGTTGCAGTGCGTGGGAGAAGGGCTAAATATTGTATCTTTCATCGTGTAACCCCCAACTCCAAGGGCAATGCCGTGGTCTCCGACTCTGCATGGCTACAAGATGCACGCTGGGCCAAGCACTTGCGGAAGGGGAGAGCGTTCTGGTGTAAGGTGGCGTAGGAGTATTTCGACCAAGGAAGGGGTGCTGGCCCATGGTGCTGTCCTGATTCGTGCAGTCCACTATCTGGTAAAGTACTGGTATCAGGAGCGACAAAAGGACGTACACGTACATGAATCCACGCTGGTTTCGAGAGTACGCATAGCGCAAATGTTCGTATAACGCGGCAGGTCTCGCGGATCGAGGGGCCGTGTTCATGTACATAGCTGGGCGCGTGCGTCCTTTGTGGGCTCCCTATGGTAGGAGCTGCTTCTGAGCATGCTGGCTGGACGCAGGTCGCTCCCCGATGTTCCCATGGTTGTTCGGCGAAGGCTTCAACGATCAGTGCTCGGGCCTCGCGCGCTGCAGTGCCGGAGCGCGCGCGCGGTTTGGCATGCAGGTCAGGTGGTGAGCCACGCGGCGCTCGCGCTAGTCCCGAGGCTATCAGGAGAGGAAAAGGCACACAGACACAATTAATCCTCGATTCCTCAGAAAATATGGGAACATATGGGAAGTGGGGGGGAAGACAGAAACCCAGAAAATATAGGAAAGTATGGGGAATATTTTTACTTGTGTGTATTTATTTGTGTGTCCTGGGGCCCCTTCAGGCTAGCGCGGTCGCTGGTGGGCGTCATTTACTGCCTGCGCGAAGGAGCGCGTGGGGGCCACGGGCCGCCTCGGTGCCCCGACGAGTGGGTGGCGGCTGTCAGTAGTGCAGCGTCTGACATCCCCAGGCATGGGTAGTCTATCCCCTCCTCGGACTCCTCCTCCTCCTCCTCCTCCTCCTCCTCCTCCCTTCAGCGGAGTTTTCGGGTATAAACAGCTAGGTGCTTGTTTTTCCGTCAGCGGAGCTGTCGGGTATAAACAGCTAGGTGTTTTTTTTTTTCCCGTCAGCGGCTTTCCAAGTCGTTGGGAATGCTATGCTGGTGACATGTTGGCGCAGCGTCGCGAGGAGACGGAGCGTGCGCTGCAGAAGTGGATCACGCATGCTTTTCCCAAGGGTGCTGGGCTTGCGCGCCGTGCCCCGAGATTTCAGGTTTTGGAAGAGGCAGATCGGCACGCTGACGCGCCGCAGCCGTGTCAACTTGCAGATCGTGGGCAGGATCAGCGACGTGTTGTTTGGACCTGTCATGATTTTGGCCGACTGAAGCTGCCGCCGGATCACGCGAGCTGGGGCAACTTGCCGAAGCTCCAGCCCGAAGGTTGGCAGGCAGCGTTTTTCACCGCTTTCTCATGGGAGACGCCAGTGGGGCCGGGCAGGCCGCGCCCGAGAGTCTTCTGGATTTGTCGCGGCTCGGTCTTCATGGGGCGTGCGCCGTGTTTTCTTCCAGCGGGGGGGTGCTTATGTGGCTCCCGGACAGGGTAGTCAACGAGATGGTTCGTCTTGCGAAACCCGATGGAGGCACGATTTTATTTTTTGGTCGAGAGTTTGGTTTGTTTGTGGCCACGTGCTGGGCGTTCGATTTCTGGGCCGTGGATCTAGTCGCATGGCAGTCTTTACATTTGGAAATTGGAGAGACTTTTCACACAGCTACTCTGCATGTGTGCATGGTCTGCAGGCTGATATTGCTGACCGTTTCGGTGAATGCTCCATCGCGGTATTTTTTAATATCTGGAATTGCTTAGACGGTGATGTTCGATGCCTTCACCAGAGGGGGCCCGCGAGATGCAGGTCCCCGTGAAGATCTGGTAGGAGGAGGAGGAGGAGGAGGAGGAGGAGGGAGGAGGAGGAGGAGGAGGAGGAGGAGGGAGGAGGAGGAGGAGGAGGAGGAGGAGGAGGAGGGAGGAGGAGGAGGAGGAGGAGGAGGAGGAGGAGGAGGAGGAGGAGGAGGAGGAGGAGGAGGAGGAGGAGGAGGAGGAGGAGGAGGAGGAGGAGGAGGAGGGAGGAGGAGGAGGAGTCGGAGTCGGAGGAGGAGTCGGAGTCGAGTCGGAGTCGGAGTCGGAGTCGGAGTCGGAGTCGGATTCGGAGTCGTCAGAGTCGAGTCGGAGTCGAGTCGGAGTCGGAGTCGGAGTCGGAGGAGGAGTCGGAGCCGGAGGTCGGAGGAGGAGGAGAGGAGGAGGAGGAGGAGGAGGGGGGAGGAGGGGAGCAGTCGGGGGGAGGAGGGGGAGGAGGGGAGGAGGGGGAGGAGGGAGAGCTGGAGAAGGAGGAGGAGAAGGAGGAGGAGGAAGATGAGGAGGAGGAGGATGAGGAGGGAGGAAAGGAGTGGAGGAGGAGTCGGAGTCGGAGAGGAGTCGGAGTCGGAGTCGGAGTCGAGTCGGAGTCGGAGTCGGAGTCGGAGGCGGAGGAAGAGGAGGAGTCGGAGGAGGAGGGGAGGAGGTCGAGAGGAGGGAGGAGGAGGAGGAGGATGAGGAGGAGAGGAGGAGGAGGAGGAGGAGGGGAGGAGGAGGGGAGGAGGAGGAGGAGGAGGAGGAGGAGGAGGGAGGAGGAAGGAGGAGGAGGAGGGGAGGAGGAGGAGGGGGAGGCGGCGGAGGGAGGCGGAGGAGGCGGAGGAGGAGGAGGAGAAGGAGGCGGAGGCGGAGGAGGAGGAGGACGCTGACGCCGAGGGCCCGCCGCCCGGGGAGGTCCGCGCAGGCCGCCGGGCACGCCGCCCAGGCCGCCGGGCGGGGGGCCGCCGGCGTCCGACGAGGCCTCTCCACGCGCGGCCTCGGTGCTGCGCCGCCGCTGTCGTGGCCTCTCGGTGCTGTCGCGATGGTCGGTCGTCGTCGCCGCGTGCCTCGTCCCCAGCCTCCCTCCTCCTCCTCCTCCTCCTCCTCCTCCTCCTCCTCCTCCTCCTCTCCTTTCCTTTCCTCCTCCTCCTCCTTCCCTCCCCTCCAACCCGAACTTTGGGACTTCGGGTGCGGCTGGGGTGCTCTGGCAGGTCAGGTCTCTTCGCCTCCGCTCCCGCCGCGCCTCCGCTCTGAGATTCGAAGAGAGAACACGCGGTAAACATAAGCTTTGGACGCTCCGCGGTGATTTCTTGGACCCGCGCTGGGCCCCCGCCCCTCCCCCGCGGCGCCTCCAGCGCCGCCCCTGGCGCGTTCCGCGCGCCAGGGAGCAGGGTCCAGCGCAGATCCAAGCAATCCGCGCGGAGCGTGACAAGTTTATGTCGTTTTTTGAGGTTCTAACGGTTGCGGCTTGAAGAAAGCACGGAGTGGATTTTTTGTGGTCTTCGGCTTCTTGGGGCCCTCAGGCAGAGCGCGCCTTGAGCAAAGCCAGCGGCGACCCTCGCCCTCTCCCCCCTCTCGCTCCTCCCCCCGCCTGCATGCGATTCGTTTCTGCGCGAGTTGTGGGCTCACGGCCATGACGCGCGGCCGTCATGCAACCCGCGATTGCCCGTCGAGCAGACGCAAGAAGGGCCTTCTGTAGTCCGTAATGGATCGCCATCGCAGGTCAATGCCCCTGCCCCCCGGGGCCTCCGCCGCGATCTCGAACTCCGTCACAGGATCCCGCCCCGATGCCAGGCCCGCTTTCTGTGGATCGGCACCTGGTGCCCATCGGCAGATCCGCTGCTACGCCCCCCTCCCGCTGTGTGTGAAGTCCGCTCATATCACTGCTATATCGTCATATACCGCTAGCGTATCGGCCCAGGTATTGGTGCACATACCGCGCTGCTCTCCGCGCAGCGCCCAGGAAAGGGAGCAGCCAACCTCTTCCTCCTTTTACCTCTACCAACGGACAATCGTATAGGATCGACTCCATGGTCGTATTCCTATACGCACACCCGCCGCCTCCGTCCTCCGCCCCCCCTGCCCGTCGGCCAGGAGGCTCCCTCGCCCAGCGCGCGCGGCGGCAGCAGCAGCGGCGCCGCCGCTGGCCGCGGCGATGCGCAGTCGGACTGCCGCTCGCTGGGAGGGGGGGGGGGTGCTGGCGAGTGCGCGGGGGGAGGGGGGAAGGGGAGTAGCAGAACGAGGTCTTCTTCTTCCTCTTCCTCCTCGTCCTCTTCCTCTTCTTCTTTTTCTGATTCTTCTTCTTTTTCTTCGCCTTCTCATTCTTCTTCTCCTTCATCTTCTTCTCCATCTTCTTCTCCTTCTTCTTTTTCTTCCTCTTCCTCCTCCTTTTCCTCCTCCTCTTCTTCCTCGTCCTCAACGTGTTCCTCCTCTTCCTCCTCCTCCTCCGCCCCCTCCTCCTCCTCTCCTCCTCTTCCTCCTCCTTCTCCTCCCCCTCTTGCCCCTCTTCCTGTCTTCTTTCCCCCTGTTCCGTCCCTTCTTCCTCCTCCCCCACCCCCCCTCCTCCGCTTCCTCTTCCTCTTTCTTCTCGTTTCGCCCTTTACAACTGTCATCCACTGTTTAGCCGACGTGCGGCCACGCACGAGGCCTCTGCGCGCCTCTTTTGGAAGGGGCGGCCCGGTCCTCTCCTTCCCTTTCCTCCTTCTCCTCCCTCCTGTACCCTTTTGTTTTTGGACAGTGGGGGTGTCCCCTTCTTCCACTTCTGCTCGAGTTCGGCGATGATAACGTACATTGCCATGCCTTATAGATCGCGCACTGATTACCTCCGCTGACTGAGCACTCCTCCGCTCATGCATATGCAATCCAAGCGAAATATGTGTTCCTGAAACCAGATTGTTATTTGGTGCACGTTTGGAACACGTACCCCTGGTTTCTTCATAAGCGTCGGGTGGGGCGTCACCCCCGCCGACCGCCCCACATCGACCCCCGCCGCGGGCAGCCACCGCGCGCCGAAGGCGCTCCGACCCCCTTCGCGGCGCGACGACGGGGCGAGGTTGACCTCCGTCGGGGAGGTACCCCCCCCCGCTGATCAAGAAACCCAGAGTAGGGTTCTGCTGCTCTCATCATCTCGCCTCTTCCCTCCTGCCCTCCTGGTTCCTGCCTCGCCTCCGTGTGTGTGTGCTACCACTGCGCCATTGTCGCCCTTTCTCGTTGGCTTCTCGGAGGGCCAGCGGAATGGGGTCTTACGCGGATCCAAATGAGACTGCGCCCCCCTGGGTGGTGTCGGCTGTGCACCTGGCGCCCCTGTGGGTTCTTGGGAGGTCCATCTGGGTGGGTTCTGATGCAAACCCGAATGGGACCTCGCCCTTCTTGGTGTTGCCATTTGGTCAACTCCCGCCAGTTTTAGTGTGCCCGTGCTCATACGCGAATCAGCTTGAGATCGTGACCCCAGTGTGCTGCTAATTGCGTATTTGTCGCCATTTTCGCGGGCTCGTGGTCTTGCGCGGATCAGACTGAGATCGTGGCCCTCGGGGTATTGCCAGATGCGCAACTGCCGTCACCTTTGTTGGTTCCTGGGATGTCCCAGGGGTCTTCGCGGATCAGTGTGAGACCTCGCCCCCCTGGGTGGTGCGAACTGCGCAACTGATGCCATTTTAGTGGACTCCTGAGAGGTCAAATAGGGTAGGGTCGTACGCAGATCACAGTGAGACTTCGCCCCGTTGGGTGCCGCTGGCTGCGCAACTGTAGCTATTTTCCTGGGCTTCTGGGAAGTCCAGTGGAGCGGGGTCTGACGAGGATCAGTATAGTACGGGACCTCGCGCCCGTGGGTGCTGCCAGATGCGCAACTGTCGCCGCTTTCGTGAGCTCCTGGGAGGTCCAGCGAAATGGGTGTACGCGGATCAGCATGATATCTGCCAACTGCCAATTCTCGTGACACTGTCGGGGATCCAGCGGAGATCGGCACCACGCAGACCGAGACGAGACCTCGTCCTACTGAGTGTTACCAACTGTGCAACTGTCACCTTTCGTGAATTTTGCCCGTGAGAGCTTCCCTTTGCATTTGCGTCCCGCCTCCTTCTTCTCGTCGTTCACGTCGTCCCTCTCATGCCCCCCCCCATTTTCTTCCCTCTCCTCTGGTGCAGCCTTGTGCAGGTCCCACTGTTTGCTTGCTCGCGCCCGGCTCGAGACACTCCTCTCGCG